TCTACGCGAGATACCCCATATAGACAGAGTTCTAGGAATACCTGGGGGGCACAGTCAGTTGAGCGGCCGACTCTTGGTTTCAGCCCTGGCGTGATCTCAGGGTCATGGGATCAAGCCCCGCATCAGGCTCCCCACCCAATGCAGAATGCACTTCTGATTCTTTCTCCCTGTCCTCTCTGCTGCTCTTCCCCACTCGCTTGTACTCACTCTCTCTCAAATGAATAAATAAAATATTAAAAAAAATTTTTAAATAAATAAATGGAATTCCACAGTATTTGACCTTTTATATCTGGTTTATGTCACCTCAGAGAATATCTTCAAGGTTCATCCATGTGGTAGCATGTGACCATTTCCCTCTCCTGAAGGCTGTGTAACAGTGCACTGAATGAATAGGTCACATTTTCTTTATCCATTTATCCTTCTATCAATGGACGCTGGGCTACTTCCACCTTTTTGCTACTGGGAGTAGTGCCGCTTACAAGCACGGGTGCACGGATGTCTGTTTGAGTCCCACTTTCCATTCCACTGGGGATATACCCAGAAGGGAAATTGCTGGATCACATGGTGATTCTTTAATTTTTTTGAAAAGCCATCATCAAGCTGTATTTCTTCCTTTCTTTTTTTCTTTCTTTCTTTTCTTCCCCCACTTCTAATAATAGCCCACTAACCTCAGTGGCCAATTCCACATTACTTTTCTGGAAGGCCTCTGGGCCGCATGTCACTCTCACAAGTTGAGAAGTAATTTTCCCTCTTTTTTTTAAACTTCAGCTGCAGAAAATCACCTGATTGAAAATTGCAGAAGAACCCTCATCCCACACAGGAACAGAACTGCTCAGAAAGCCCAGCCCGCCAGCTAATTACAGGCTTTTCCCAGGATTCTCGGCAAACGCTCCAAGTGCAGCTCAACCTTACTTCTGTTATGAAGTGTTTGGAAACAAGCTAATAGGCTAGGTTTCAGATCCTTAGCCTGGAGGCGACAGCTCTTTCCCCTAGCTGATAAATAAAGCAAGTTAGAACATCATGGATTCTAATTCAGCACCATTGCAGCTTTGCCTAGAGAGATACCAGCTCAAACCGCACTTCTTTTGTAACTGCAGGCAGGGCCGTTCATGTAAAATGTCATCCCAGCTGGGATTTCCACTCATAGCTATGGTTCTGAACCCTGACTGAGCACTAGAAATATCTAGGGTGCTTTAAAAATACATATACACGGGGGCGCCTGGGTGGCTCAATTAGTTCAGCGTCTGCCTTGGGCTCAGGTCCTGATCCTGGTGTCCCTGGATCAAGCCCCATATGGAGCTCCCTGCTCAGCAGGGAATCTGCTTCTCCCTCTCCTTCCACCGCTTCCCGCTTATCTTCTTTCTCCCAAATAAATAAACAAAATGTATATTTTCAATGGGCTTTAACCTGACAAGAGGCACCCCTGAGCTAGGGGCACAAAACCCCAACATTTAAACAAGAGAAGCGGGCGGGGGGTGGGGGTGAATGGGTGATGGGCACTGAGGGGGACACTTGACGGGATGAGCACTGGGTGTTATTCTGTATGTTGGTAAACTGAACACCAATAAAAATTAATTTATTAAAAAAAATAATAAAATAAACAAGAGAAGCTTGCGTTCCACAAATGGAGAGCAGGGGCCTTGCCTGGTGAAGACTGCTACCTGAAACGTAATGGGTTGAATGAGAGATGTATGGGGGGCAGGGATACTGCCCCAGTTTGAGGCTTTGGCCTGATGGGGTTCACATATGGGATTCAAGGGGTTCTAAACAACCTCTCAATGGAAGGCAAAACTTCTTTTTGTTTAGGGTATTTCTCTCGGAAGGTGCTCCAGAGTTCTTATCACATTATCTTAAGCTCCATCACATACCCCTTACCTCCCCGCACCTTCCCCTACCCCCACCATGTGTAACCTCTGCCTTTATCACGGGATCACATCACCAGGGGATGGTATATAGCACAACTATTAAAGAGCTAGGTCCATTCACATCTGCATCACCCTGGAGGGACTGGACACATTCATTTGTTAATGAAACAAAAGTAAGTTTGAGAGTGGGGTCCACAGAATGGTCTGAAAAGCTCCCCAAACTGGAGGTCTGATTTGTTCACTGCTATATTCTGAACACCTGGAAACAGAAAGTGCTTCATACCCACTTCCTGAATTAATGAATAACTTCTTAAAAGAGCTGAATCTTCTGTATGTGGATGACATTTGTGGGAATGAGGAAAGAAGTGTGAAATCAGCAGTGTGTGTGAAATGAGTAAAGAAGTGTGAAATCAGACGCTCAGCGGGTGAGCGTCTACCTTTGGCTCAGGTCGTGATCCCGGGGTCCTGGGATCGAGTCCTGCATCAGGCTCCTCATGGGGAGTCTGCTTCTCCCTCTGCCTGTGTCTCTGCCTCTTTCTGTATGACTCTCATGAATAAATAAATAAAATCTTGAAAAAAAAAAGTGTGAAATGATGCATACCAAGACATTGAGGTGGTGATTTCAGGGAGAAGGGAATGGAAGGGGGATGAAGAAGAGACTAACACTGCCTTTTAATAATAGTTCACAGTTACTAAGTGCTTGCTGTATACTAGGCACAGTGCCCAACACAGATTGTCTTCTTTTCATCTTATCCAAGTAACAATTCTTCAAGACGTCCTTGTGTGGTTATAACCATTTTACAGATGAGAAAATCTAAGCATACAGATCTTGCTCAAGGCTACAGAGCCCAGACCCAAGGCCCTGGCCCTACAGCCCCCACATTTGACCCCTCTACTCTTCTGATTCTCCATCCAAACAAACCTTTTGGTTGTGCCATTCACTGTGACAAGCATGTAATACTTTTGTCATAAAATCTTCAGTAAAATATAAAAGTGTCAGGGCTTCCCTTCTGGGCACTCAATGCCCCCTGGGGTCCCCTCCCAATCTAAATGTGCAACACTCAGTCACTTATTCTCAGTAGGGACTTGGAAATCAATATTCCATGCTTGGATCTTACCTTGGTTCAATTTAGTCCCCACTGCCTGCTCCCTACCATTTAAAGATTCAGTGCAATCATTGTCTTCTGCTTGACCCGAAACCTTGGGGACAGTGGGACCTGTGGACAGCAGCCATCACCGGCTGCAGATAGGACTGTCATACCTGCTTAGGGCAGGCAGCTCCTGATTGGATGCAGACTCTCTGGGTCACAGGCCCTAAGAAAACCCAGAACCAACCTGCTTCAAAGGAGTCTTGGAGCACAGAGCATTTGCAATCTTAGTGATGAGAAGCAGTTAAGCCTGTGCAGAGGAAGCCTTGCATACAAGGGTTTTTTAAGCCATAGGCTTCTTTCTTGGGGGACCTGCTGATAAGGATTTTAGACTAGATCTAAACAGATTAGGCTTTACTAATTACTCTGGAGCACGACTCCTCAGTGTGATGTCAGGTCCCCAATGCCAGCACTACCTGGATGTTTGGGGAAATGCAGACCCCTTGGTCTTCAGAGCTAGTAAGAACAGAGCTGGAATCTTGACTGTACCAGTCTGAGACCATGTGGATTACTTGGGTTTGAGGCCTCAGCCTCCAGCCCTATAAGATGATGAGGATTATGCTGATTGGACAGCGTGAATTATGATGAATATTAGCAATAAAGTATGTGAAGCCCCTGCTGTGATCAGGACACAGGAAATAATAACCATTACTTCCATTAACTCGATGTTGTGGGAGCCAGCTTCTAAAATGGCTCCCAATGATCACTAACTCTCAGGATTTATGCCACTCTGTAACCCCCTCCCCTGGATTGTGATGAACCTAGCGGGTTGTTTCTAATGAATAGAATATGGCAAAAGTGAGAGGATGTCATTTCTAAGATTAGGTTATGATAAGACTCTGGCTTCCATCTTGCTCACTCTCTCTTGCTCCCTCACTTGCCCACTCTGATGGAAACCATCCGCCACATTGGGAGTTGCCCTACGGAGAAGTCCACATAGTGAGAAACGGAGGAAGGTCACTGGCCAACATCCAGGAAGGAAAGGAAGCCTCCAATCCAATGCATCTCCACTGTGAGGAACTGAATCCTGCCAACCACTATCAATGTGAGTAAGCTTGAGAACAGATCCTCCCCCCCAGATGAGCCTTGAGATGAGACTGCAGCCCCAGCCAATACCCTGACTGCAGCCTTGTCAGAGAACCTCAGTCAGAAGCACGCAGCAGGGGATCCCTGGGTGGCGCAGCGGTTTGGCGCCTGCCTTTGGCCCAGGGCGTGATCCTGGAGACCCGGGATCGAATCCCACATCGGGCTTCCGGTGCATGGAGCCTGCTTCTCCCTCTGCCTGTGTCTCTGCCTCTCTCTCTCTCTGTGACTATCATAAATAAATAAAAATTAAAAAAAAAAAAAAGCAGCACGCAGCAAACCTACGTCTGGGTTCTTGACCCACAGAAACTATGAGTTTAATAAATGTTTCTAAGTCACTCAGTTTATTATGCAGTAATAGATAACTAATACGCATTGAAAACAGCAGATTACATTCAACCAGAGTGGCACATGAAGCCTCTACTTAAAAATTATGTTCTCTGGGAAGCTTTCAAAATCCTCCTCTCCAAGTTAGGTGATATATTTCTCACATTTCCCTGTTGAACTATAAGCTCCTTGAATCACCACATCATCAAAAGTAACAGAGTGAGCACTTATTATTATTTCAAAGTTGTAAGTCACTTAATCTCACAAACCTCTGAAGCAGGTACTAGGATTGCCCACATTTTACAGATGAAGAAACTGAGGCTCAGAGGGGTCAAGTAACATGTCCAAGGCTTCAGCAATTATGTGGAAGTGTCAAGGAATCTGGCTCCAAAGTTTACATTTGTAGTAAATATGCTTTATGGTTCTATGAATCTCACCCAAGGTCACAAGTGGTAAATGGATTCAAACCCAGGTAGCTGAATACCAGATATTACCCTGTCTAAACCCCTTCTATCTCTAGGACAAGAAGTGGAAGATGTCTCACCTGGAGTTCATCAGGGTCTGAACCACTGCCTACCTGTAAACACTAAGCTGGCATTTTCAAGTTCTTCTTGGGGAACTTTGAAGCTGAAGGATTCATTGTAAAAAGGATCAATTGTGCCTCTTAAGAAGGATGTCTTCTTTGTTTTCACAAGCTTGAGTCCATGTACCAGCTGGATTTTCACAAAGGGGTCTGAGAATCGGACACAGCATAATAGAATGTTGGAGCTCATGAAACTCAATCCATTCATCCATCCATCCATCCATCCATCCATCCATCCATCTGAAAATCCAACTACCGACCCATCCTTTCATCTCTTTTATCTCATCAGTCCGTCTGTCTTTCCATCCCCCAGTCCAGGTATCCAACCCTCCTTTCATTCATCCATTCTCCCATCCATCCACTATCCACCCTTTCTTTTTTCCCATCCAGCTGCTTGTCTGGTTCATCTCTTTCTCTCCTCCTTCAGCCATCCATCCAAAATTTATTGAGCTCTTCCCACATGTCAGGCATTGTATTCATTGTACAGATGAAGAAATTAAAGACTCAAGATAGGAAATGGTCTGCTTAAGATCAGACTAGTGGAAGAAGAGCGAGACCCAGAGCCTGCCCTGGTTTTTTGTCCCTAGAAACCCATTATCATGTCAGTGAGCCCACAGCTCCACACACAGGAGTACGGAGATGGCTGACTAATGACTATCATTCTTAGATCCCTTTACAGTTTACAAAGAGATTCATGTACATTATCCAACTTAATATTTATTTAGACAACCCAGTGAGATGGATACTGTTGCTATCTCAATTTTTCAGATGGAGAAATTGAGGCTTATGGAGGTTAAGTATCTTCCCCAAGGCCATGTCATTTGTAAGCAGTAGAATGAGAACTAGTTTCCAGGCAGTTTGACTCCAGAACCCTCAATCATTTTATCAAACTGTCTCTCCTGTTGTGCTAAGTCTGAAACTCTCCAGCCTCAACATCATTCCCTCCACTGGCCCCTTCAAAACCTCTATTTTTATAATGTGGTTTTTGAGAATGTAAGTTGTCTTCTAAATGCAGCTGTCACTTGATAGCAAAAGTAATTTATTTTAGCTACTGTACTTAGAGGAGACAGTGGTTTCTCCACTGAGCTGAAGAGGTCTCAGAGATCCTGGCTACTTTCACGATAATATCTTTTGCTGTCATGGGAGAAGCTACATACAGATGGAATGTAATCTGTTCCATTTCATGAAAAGTCATGTTTGAATTGGTTTGCTATAAAGCAGACACTTTAAATATAACAGTCTTTCCAGAGCTGATTTATAAAGATTCAAGGTGCATTTGAAATGAGCTGGCAAAAAACCCTCAGGGCTTGCCCAATACCCCCTCAGATCAGAATGCGTGGTCGGTACCCGCCGCTCCCGCCACCAGGAGCATGGCATCTCCAACCTGCGATGGAGCATCTGGAAAGGCAGGTGACTTCCTCGGGGCTGTGTGTGCATAGAGGATCCAGGTCAGTAGTTATCCCACGAGGTCTCGGTCAAATCCCCAGTTCGAATGGAGTTATGGAGAGAGCATCATTTACCTGCCTCATCTTAAGAGACATCTGAGTGTTTATTTTCCCTCTTGATCTAACATCCTAGTTCTAAATGCTCTTTGTTTACCCTCACAGGGTTTTATGAATAGTATCCGGAATTCAGGGGAAAAAAATCGAGGCTCTGTATCAAACAAACATAGATGGCTCGTTAAGGAAATGGGGAGTGAAGGGGTTACACTGTACCTGAACCTTGGCTCACATCAGTCTGAAGAAGTTGCTTGGCTCGAATGACATCCACATTCAGTCTCCCAGCACTTGGGAGATAATTCAGTGACAGAAGCAGCTCCCCCAGCTCCACTTCATTCTGCAGAGCAAAGAAATGATCAGAAAGTTGCTTTTTTCTTGTATTCCTTTTTGTACCTATCATGCAGTAAAGTGATTCTTGCAGCTCACAAATGGGCTTCTGTGGGTGGATCAGTTGACAGTGAGTGACTCTTCCTTTGACTTATTTTAGCCTCTGTCCCCAATTATTCCATCTATCCCAGAAAGTTCTTGTAGCACCTGAGTGGCTCAATCAGTTAAGCGTCCAACTCTGGATTTTAGCTCAGGTCATCATGACCTCAGGGTTGTGAGATCGAGCCCCACGTCAGGCTCTGCATTCAGCGCAGAGTCTGCTCCAGGTTCTCCCTCTCCCTCTGCCCCTCCCCCTGCTTGTGCTCTCTCTCTCTCTAATGAATAAATAAAATCTTAAAAAAAAAAGAAAATTCTTTCTGTTCTTAGGATGCTGAACAGCAGCAACAACATACTAACAACAAGGTATCAATAATAATAAATGCTAAATGTCAAGTTCCGAGCTAAGCACTTTATACGTGATAACCAGTTCAATCTTCATAATGAATCTGTAAGATGTTAGTATTACTCTTATTTAATAGGAGAAAGTGAGGATCAGAACAATGAAATGACATATCCAAGACCACACAGAAAGTGGTAGCACCGGCATTTAGACCTGGGGACGCTGATTCCAGATAATCTGACCGCGATGCTATTTTGCCTCCCACCAGGATCACTGAGAGCAGGATACCCTACAGAGCAAGTATGTGGGTGAGAAATCTGTTCTCAACCTGCAGTCCACAGTAGACCCCATGCTTCTAGTCTCACCGCTACAACACTCAGCCCATGACATTGCTTGTTAAAAAACATGCAATCCCTTGATGTCGACACTACCACACTGGTGGGAAATTCATCCAGAGCATGGTGCCTTCCACACTTCCAAAAGTACCTAGAAAAGAGGAGGCCTCCACTTCTCTGTCCCACTTTTTCAAAAATGTTTATTGTAAAAACTTGCAACCATATACAAGTTACACGGGCGAGCATAAGGAATCTCCATAGACCCACCACCTAGTGGTAACATGATCAGAATACTTCCTTTGCTAAAGGATGTTTCATTGCGTCTTACTCTGTACTTATCTTGGTCCATATAATAAAATACCATAGACTAGTAGCTTATAAACAGAAATTTCTTTCTCATACTTCTGGAGGCTGAGAGTCCAAGATCAGGGCACTAGCATGGTTAGGTGCGGTCACAGACTTCTCGTTGTGTCCTTGCTTAGTGGAAGAGACTAGAGAGTGCTGTAGGGCCTCGTATGTAAGGCACTAACCCCATTCATGGGGATTCCAGCTTCATGACCCAATCACCTCCCAAAGGCCCTATCTTGCAACACCATCACATTGGAAGTTAGGACTCCAACGTGTAAACTTTGGAGGAGACACAAACATTCAGATCACAGCACATCTATACATTGACTTGCAAAAAATTTTAGCTGAATATTTTAAACCATATCCCAGACATGATGTCACTTTACCTGTATATCCTTCAGAGAGTATCTCTAAAAGATAAGGACATTAAAACAAATATTTTTAGTATGGGAAATTTCTGATCATTCAAAAGAAGGCAGAAAAGTACAAGGAAACTCCTCATATCCACCACTACTCAGATTCAACAATTATCGTCTCGTAGCCAATCTTGATTTACCTATACCCTCATTCAATGCCTCATATCATTCTGAAGTAATTCCCAGATATCATATTATTTCTCAATATTTTAGTATATATCTCTAAGAATATGATTGATCTCTTTATCCATTTAACCATCCACCAACTATTCATTCTCCAACCACCCATCCACCATCCATTCATTGATCCTTCCTTCCACCATCCATCCATTATCCATCTATCCATCCATCCATCCATCCATCCATCCATCCATCTACTCACCCATAATCTCTGTCCATCCCTTTTGGTTATCAGTGATTCCAGCAAATTTATGCCAAGTGGCAGCTCTAGAACATAGCTTGGCACATGGGAGATACTCAATAAACATGTGTTGATTGGACTCCTAGTCAAACCAAAAGATTTCTGTACTAAGTGACAAGTCCTTAGACAAGAAACAATCTTACACATTAACTCAGAGGTTGCAACTTGTCAGCCTGTAGATGTGTTTTATTTGGCCTACATCAAGCTTAAACATAACTAATTGATAATTATGATAAAATTCAAGAATCAAGATACCTCACACTTTCAAAAAAAAAATCTGGATTTCCTGCCTTTCTTAAAAAATTAGAAGGTCCAGCAAGGCTGGACCCACATTCCCACCTGGCAACATGTGGCCACAGTGCGGTGTCCCCCTAGATGGGACCTGCCTCCATTTCATGAGGTCCCCATCCTTCACTGCTTTACATATGAGTTTGTAGGTTTGTCAAGACAGAATGGTCAACTCAGTATCCTGAGTAATCAAGGAATTTCAGAGCCCCTGTACACAGTGGCTAGGAGTCCCCCCCCCCTTGTTTTTTAAGATTTTATTTATATTTGAGAGAGAGACAGCGCAATCATGTGTGCATGAGTGGGAAGAGGGAGAAGCAGGCTCCCCACTGAGCAAGAAGCCCAATGCAGGGCTCAATCCCAGGACCTGAGACAGAGGCAGATGCTTAACTGACTGAGCCACCCAAGCACCTCTCCCTCTTGTTCTTAAAGGCCTGGAAGATGTAGTCCTCAGGACCTGATCCTGTAGACATATATATCCTGAGACAAGAAATGCTGAGAATTCTGCTGGCTCCCAGGCCAAGGAGAAGCCATTCATATCCCTGTGGACTTAGAGCGAAGCCTTCCCTGCTTTTACAAGTAACCAGCTGCTCAACTCATGACATAGCTTTATAGGTAAGGATCATAACTTGTAATTTAGTCTGCTGAGTTGGTGAAATATGGATTCAAATCTAGTGTCATCATGGGTGGTTCATTTAGAGAGGGAGAGAGGGTTGCAACTGAGGAACAAAACAGTATGGTAGGAAATTAGCCTATAGACCAGTGGTTCTCAAATGAGAACAGTTTTGCCACCATCACCAGCACCGATGCCTAAAGACATTTCGGATTGTCACTCCTGAGGTGAGGGATACTCCTGGGATCTAGTGTGTAGAGGCCAGGGAGAGTGTTCAACACCCTACAATGCACAAGACAGCTCCTCAGCCCCCCAAACAAAGGATGATCCAGCCCAAAATGGCAACAGTGCTCAGATTGAGAGACATGGGACATGTTTCTTTTACAATAGCAAAAAAAGTACATATCCGTTGACTCAATATTTCCATTTCTAGGAACTTACCATGTACCTCACTGTGCGTCACCATGCATGCACAAGGACAAATGCACTATCGTGACCTTGACAGATTGACTGTGGGCCATGATATGTAAGGAGTGGGGAGCAAGATAGTCCCTGCCTTCATGGAACATATACTTTGGGTGAGGGGGTCGGAGACAGAGAGTAAACAGACTAAAGGAGACACAAGTGAGGTGATTTCAGATCAGGCTGAGTACTAGGGAGAAAAATCCAGCAGGATATGGAGATGAAGGGCCCTTCTGGGGTGAGGGAAATACTCTGTATCTTGATTATGGTGGTGATGACATGGGTGCATTTGCCAAAAATCAACTATTTAAAATGTACATATTTATTGTATGCAAATTACACCTTGATAAAGTTGATTAAATTGGGGAGGATCCAAAGTAAACCAAATAGGACAGAATATTTATCAGCACTTGTCAGATCTGGGAGATGTGTACCTGGGTGTTTACTATTTTATGTTGGAAATGCTTCATTTAAAAACATAAAATAAATATTAAAAAAGCAAGCACGACAACCCAGGCAGGGTAACAGAATGGGGACTGATGAGGCGCACGTGGGGGCCACCAGGTCAGCCACGGTGGTCAGGCAAGGACTCAGAGGTGAGGTTGGAAGAAGGGCTGAAGGAAGTGAGATGGGCAGGCGGACACACGAACATGGGGGTGGGAAGAGGAAGAAATCCAGGAACACAGTGAAGGCAGTATGGCTGGAATGCGCTAAAAGGTGGGTTCTGGAAAGGTCCATGAGAGCTAGAGAAAGCTACCGAGAGGGGCAGACCTGTGGGAGCATGCCCACTCCCAGCTTTATAGGAAATGGTAAAAGGAGTGAGGCTGGCTACCAGGCTCTCATTGCCTAAGGGAGCCCTCAAGCTCCTGTTCAGAGTGGAGAGAGAAGCTCTATTCCTCCCCACCAGGGGAGGGGGGGCATTGACCAAGCTTCACCAAGGCCGATGCCTGGTGTCATCTTCTATCTTCCCCTTTCTAAGAAGATTGTTTTTCATCTCAAAAAAGGGAAAGCTCTTTTATTCTTTCTTCCCTTTGAAGGATACAAGCTGCTGTTCTCTCCAGCCCTGCCTCACCCCCAACACAAGCCTAACAAGGTTTTCAGGAAGTATTTTTCCAAGAGAGGTCATCCCACCGACCCAGCCATTCTGTCTCTCTGCCTGGCCTTGGGGGTGATCAGTTTGTAAGACAGCTGTCTGGAATTCAGGGGACAGTTGGTAGAAACAAAAAAGAGGGCTAACCGAGCAACATGCAAGGGTTTGCTGATTTATTCAACAAACGTTTATTCTACTGTTACTCAGTCCTAGGCACCAGGACATCATGATCATAATAATTATGGAAGACTTTTATCTCAAAATCACCCTAGGCTGGGGATTGACTCGGGCATGCTAAGGCTGAATCTCATTTCTTCCCCTCAAGAGCTCTAGAGGCTCCCCATTTTACAGATGAAAGAATACAGGCTCAGAGAAGCCAAGTGACAGCGGGAGATCACATTCTTTTTTCTTTTTTTAAAAGATTTTATTGATCCACGAGAGACACAAAGAAAGAGACATAGGCAGAGGGAGAAGCAGGCTCCCTGGGGAAAGCCCGATGCAGACCTTGATCCCAGGACCCCAGGATCACGACCTGGGCTGAAGGCAGATGCTCAACCACTGAGCCACCCAGATGCCCCTGGAGATCACATTCTAAGAAAGG